TCTCTCTCTCTCTCTCTCTCTCTCTCTCTCTCTCTCTCTCTCTCTCTCTCTCTCTCTCTCTCTCTCTCTCTCTCTCTCTCTCTCTCTCGGCTGTGTCCCTTCTCCATGGGAAAGAAAGGTGAGGCATATTTGCATTATCGCACACTCACTGTTTACCAGGCTTTTCTGTATCAGTGCAGAAGCCTCACTGCACCCTTGGTGCTTTGATGTTCGCTCACCACTTCAAAAGGTTGAAGGCGCATAGACAAGTGAATTACCATTTTGATACGGTGTTCCAACAGCGCTTCAAGCATGCATCCTTCATACCTTGGCGAGCCATGACACACACAAGTTTTACAGTTTGTAAACTTTGCAGCAATTTGTTTTCCTTTTTTCTCTGTAAAAGTAAGGGCTACGGCCTTCAGGTATCATCGTCATGGAACCTGCCCCGAGTAATTCAGAGGAATTTCATTCACCTGCTTCCATCAGCATTCAAACACATGTCGGTATATCAACAGTTACAATGGGTGTACCACTCAGCCACAGGGGCTGGTTTGAAGCATTTTTTTAGGGGGGTCACCCGGGGGTGCTGGTTTGCAGCATTTTTTTTTTTTTTGGGGGGGGGGGTTCCCCCTTTTCCGAATGAAATCATCAGCTTCTGCCGGAGGGTCCATTTACGGAGCATCAGTGCGGTTCCTTGTCCACCGGCAATGGATAAAGAATTCAAGACAGAAAACAATTTATGTCTCTGATGATCAGATTGGCATTGCACGACACAGTGTCTCTCTGTTTTCTGTAGCATGTTTGCCAGTGCATGAACTTAAGACTCTAGTAGGTCTTTTTGATGTGAGGTTGGCAGTTGTTCATGATTTTTTTTGAAAATTCTTGAATGGTCTCAGCCCAACCCGGGTGATGGCCCTGGTGCCTTACATTCTTCTTTGTATTTTCATAAGGGACGCTAGGCCCGGTTCCCAGCACATGCTGCTTTACACCAACAGACTGGAGCATGGTCGGACCAACCAACCAACCGACCGACCCACCCACCCACCCACCGACCAGTGCGACCACCAACCAACCAACCAACCAGCCAGAACGAATGAATGAATGAACGAACGAACGAAAAGACGGACGGACAGACGGACGAACGAACGAACGAACAAACAAACAACCAAACAAACCCAAACAACCACTCAAACCAACAAACAAACAAACCAACCCAAACAAACAAACCCAAACAACCAACCCAACCCAAACAACCAGGCCAACCAAAACAAACGAACCCACCAAACCAAACCGACCGACCAAACCAAACCGACCGAGCCGACCAAACCGACCGAACAAACCGAACCAATCGAACAAGCTGACCCACCCGAACAAACCGACCCACCAACCGAACAAACCAACCCACCAACCGAACAAACCAACCAACCCACCAACCGACCAAACCAACCCACCAAACCCACCAAACCAACCCACCAAACCCACCAAACCAAACCGACCGACCAACGACAGACCAGACCGAACTGTTACATGCAGCGCATGCACACACGGGCCATTTTGCCCGACGGCCATTTTGCAGGCCCGACAGCATTCAGGCCAAAAGCCTGAACTTCAGGCCGAAAGCCTGAATTTCAGGCTGAAAGCCTGAAATCCAGAGGCCCCCTGTCGGTTCAGGCCAAAAGCCTGAAGTCCAGGGCCTATCCCTGGTCGTTTCAGACTAAAAATGGCAACAGCCTTTTTAGCCTGAAACGAAGGGCCATTTTCGGTCGTTCATCAGAACGACCGGCCCTGAAACTCAGGCACCGAACCAGGGTTTCGGAAACAGACTATTATTAGTCTGTTTCCCACGCCAGCCTCAAGCAGGCTGCTGCACGCCAGCCCCTGGCACATTTCGGCATTGGCAAGAGCTGCCTCCTCGGCCT